TAAAGGAGGTGAGAGGGTGGGGGCAGAAAGTGGGCACGAAAGCAGATGACAGAACATTGTTAGAGAGCAAGAAAGGCCGGATGAAGAGGGAGAAAATTTTGGAGAAGAAAAACTTCGGTCGCTATCCGGATTCGAACCCAGGACCTATTGAATGAGAGGCAAACACCTTAACCTCTAGGCAACAAGAACCCCCAGCCAGGGAACAGTGGTTCAATGGATGGGCCTTGGGCAAAACTTGGAAGAGCTGTATTTGCACACATGACTGTTCCCAACTCAAAAGATGCATGAAATTCCCTGAGAAGAGAACAAGTCACTATCTTTCGCCTGCGAACACAACAGATCCCACTGAATTCCTTCCTAAATAGAATCCGTTGTGTGACTGCCAGGACGAAACAGTATCACACAACCTCTTTACCAGCCCCGCATTTAGCGACCTGCGTAACACCTACCTTCTTAGCTACCTGCCTCCCCAAATATTGGAAATACTTTATACAGTGGCAAAACACAGCTGATGTGTTGTAACTTTATCTTGTTTCTTTCTCTGCATTTCTTCACAGTTAACTTAGAGGGAAAATTTTTTTTTTTAAAATAAATCTCATACACCATCTGGCAAGTTTAAGAATATATCCCGGAAAACTGGATTAGATCTATAGCAAAGTCCCAAAAGTTGAATGTGTAGACAATGAAAACAGACTTTATAAATATCAAAAGGCGAAAAAATGGCAGACTTTCACTTTCAAAGTTGACCTAAAATCACTCATACCTAGGTGCAAAGCTGGTACAAAACCTGCCTCCCAAATGAGATCATTTAATTTTGTTGAGCGTTATAGCATTCTGTAATTAATTATTTTTTTTCATAACATGGCACAAAATCGAGAGCAGTGGCTTCTTCCCAACACCTCTTCCACCATCAAGCAGAGAGTGCGTGATTGCTACGTGCAATCTCATTAATCGACATAATTAAACTTTGTTCACAGCAAGGTCAACTCAACTTGGTTGTTCTGTTCATATATACTAATGATGCAGGCCAGTCTAGATAGATTTATTGGATATTAAAGCTCACATCTCGATTGTTATTATTATAATCGAAATTTAAAAAAAAATAATACTGGAAATATTTAGGAACAAGGGAAGGAAGTCGGAAGTGATGTCATGCTGAACTTGATTCAGAGTCTGAATATGTTTTTGTTTTTGTAAAGTGTTTTACTGCGTTTGCAACTGCATAAGGTCATATGAGCCCGCGGGACACACCTAATATTTTCAGTTGGTAGGAAATTTTGAATTTTGCCCGGGTGGCGGCTGATGCCTACTCTTATCGATTTTAGACCACCAAGAGATCTTTAACGTGCGCAACTTGCACACGGGCCCTCCGAGATTTTTCGCCCTTGTCCGAGAAGGCTAGGTGTAGATCTTTTCTACCATAAGATCAGAGGTGTGGCTGAAAGACAGCAGTAAGAAGGAGCCAAGGAGTAGCAGTAAGAAGGACCCAAGAGACAGCAGTAAGGAGGAGCCAAGGAGTAACAGTAGAAAGGCTGCAGAAAGAGTCAGGAGCCCAGAGCAGTGGGCAAAGGAGGTGACGGGGTGGGGGCAGAAAGTGGAAATGAAAGCAGACAACAGAACATTGCTAGAGAGCAGGAAAGGAGGTGAAAGGAGACAATTTTAGAGAAGAAAATTTTTCGGTCGCTACCCGGATTTGAACCCGGGACTTTTGAATGAGAGCCCAACACCTTAACCTCTAGGCCACTATAGGTTTTATCTATTCGGACTTGGGTCCGAAAAAATATTTTATTTATTCAGACTCCGCTACTAAGCGATGTGAGTGTAAGGAGGTTACTGTCGTCAGGGGATTTTACCTTAAAATAAAATTAGAACTAGAATTACCTACTAGGACCATTGTGTAATTATGTCAAAAGCCAAAAGACTGCACTCTCATTAGATCTACCCAAGCCAATGGCAGTGTCTAAGTACACAGTAACCGACAACTCAGGGTCTTTCCACCATCACTACAGCATCATCATTACTTCCAACACAATTTGTCTTTTCACATCATGTTTAATTTCATTTTGTTGTGTGTTGTTATTCTTTTTTTTATCACATCACACAAAACCGACAGCCGTGGCGTCTTCCCAACACCTCTTCAGCCAGCAAGCCGAGAGTGCAAAATCGCTACGAGCAGTCTCATTTCATTGGTTGACAGAATTAACTTTGCCCCCAAAAAGGTCAACTCAATTTGGTTGTTATGTTCATGCTAATGATGCAGGGAGGGCCAGTTTAGATAGATCTAGATCTAGTAGAATCTTACTCGATATTTAAAGCTCACGTCTCGATTGTTATCATTATAATTGAAAAAAAATTCATAAATGCTGGAAATATTTAGGAAGTCGGAACAGATGTCCAGCTGGAATCAATTCAGAGTCTGAATATAATTTTTGTCTATTCTGACTCGAGTCCCAATAGTCACTTCTTCGTTCGGAGAAATAGAGCCGGCCTAGTATAAAGGAAAGGGAGTGTACAGACCCGGTAACCGGGAACAAATAAAACCTTCCAAACTGGACTGGAAAATGGAAGTGGTTATTCTCACCCAGGGTGAGAATAGAAATACGATCGACCTCTCACCCCAGGTGAGACTTGCCACCGTAGGCTATTCTCACCCGGTGTGAAACAAGACCTGTTCCTAATTTCGGAATACTTTCTATCGATGTGGATGATCAAATGGATAAAGGCAAAGAAAAGATTACGTTATAGCACAAAAGTAAGCTAATTTTATCGACTACAAAGATGCTATCGCTATTTCACTTTTCGAATCGAGCTGAACTACGGGGGTCGCCATTTTGTTTTGCCCGGAAGTTCTCGCGCGGCAAGATCTACTCCTCCCCTCTTCTCTCTCTTTATCTATTTCTGAATACTGTCGATCGGTGTGAACGGT